ACGAAAATAGTAGAGTTGTTGTCCAAAATAGGACTTGTTCCTCCTTAGTAGCCGAAGTGAAAGAGAAACAGTTTGATGATCTCTACTTATTGCAAGTGAATGAGGGATTCACAAGCATAAGATGATAGCTTTTGAACAAGGGAAAGATGATTGTACTTTGAAGTACCAAAATAGATTGTGTGTTCTAGATGTATATGGACTTAGAGAGGGAAGGCCATGTTAGAAGCCCATAATTCCAGGTATTCTATACACTCCAGTTTTTGAAAGATGTATCATAATCTCAAGGAGATTGATTGGTAGACCAATATGAAAAATAACGTCATAGACTTTGTAGCCAAGTGTTCGAATTATCTGCAAGTGAAAGTCGAGCTGCAGAAATCCTAGTGTTTTACCACAAAATACACATATTCTTGAGGAGAGATTGTAAATATGGACTTTATAACAGAATTATCTCATTCATTTTGAAAGCATGATTTGATTGGGTGATTGTAGATCGACTTGCCAAATCAGCGCACTTCTTGCCAGTAAAGACCACAGATTCAGCAGAAGAATATACCAAGTTGTACATTCTGGAGATCTTCCGATTGCACGGGACTTCATTGTCTATCATTCAGATCGTGGTGCTTAGTATACTATGAAATTTTAGAAGACTTTTCAGAAAAGATTAGGCATAATATTTAACCTCATCATTGTTTTTCATCCTTAGACAAATGGTCAGGCAGAGCGCACTATTCAGACACTTGAGGCTTTGTCCTTGATTTTAAAGGTAATTAGGATGATCACATACCTCTCATTGAGTTTGCTTATAATAATAGCTAACATTCTAGCATCAAGATACCACTGTACGAAGCTCTGTATGGGCGAAGATGTAGATCGCCAATTGGTTGGTTTGAAGTTGGCAAAGCAGAGTTGTTGGGACCAAATTTGGTCTATCAGGCTATAGAAAAAGTCAAGTTGATTCAAAAGAGTTTGAAGATGGCTCAAAGTCACCAAAAGTTCTATTTGGACGTGCAGTGTAGAAACCTAGAGTTTCAAGTTGATGATTCGGTGTTCTCAAAGTTTGGCCTTTGAAAGGTGTTATAAGATTTAGGAAGAAAGGAAATTTCAGTCCCAGATACATCGGGTCGTATAGGATCCTACGAAGGATTGGTCAAGTAGCTTATGAGTTAGTGTTACCACCAGAATTGGTTGTTATACACCTAGTATTTCACGTGTCATGTTATAACATTCAAGTTTCTAGTATTCAGATCTCATGTTTCTAGTATTGAGATCTCATGTTATAATATTTAGGTCAGTTCAGTACTCAGATACTCATGTCAGTCCAGTACTCAGATATTCATGCCAGCTTAGTCTTAGATATTGATGTCAGTTCAGTACTCAAATATTCATTCCATTTCAGTATTCATATATCCATGTTAGTTTAGTATTCACGTATATATGGCAGACCAATATTCACGTATATGTTTCATGTTATACACATTATGATGCCCTATGAGGATTGTGATATGCTATGATAGCTGGCAGGTATTTCGGAGAAATGTTGAAGGTAACTAACTTTTTTATTTAGACTTTATATTATAATATCCATGTCTTTTATTATTCCGTCATCTCAATATTTAGCCAATGCAGTAGTCATTTAGTTAATTATCTCACCAGTTTAGTAATCATGTGTTCATTCAGTTTAGTATGCAACTGTTCATGAAAGTTCAGTGTCCACATATTTCCACCAGACCCGTTTAAGGTCCAGAGTTAGTTGTAGTTACAGCCAGGACAATCATTTGAGGATGAATGATCCCAAGAGGGAGATAATGTAACACTCCGTAAATTCGAACTAGGTGTGGACGTGTTAAATGAGCAATAATGTGACACCTTAGACATATGAAGTATTATCGGGAATGAGTATGAGTGGAAATATTTGTTTTGGAATCAAGATGGAGAGTGAGGTGCATAAGATTCGATAAAATCGATTAAGTTTATGGAAGGTCTATCTTCTAGCAGAATTTCATGAAAACCTGTTGAGAATTTAGTAAACCACAAAATATAAAAGTTGTATCCCTTTGAAATACCTTTCCAATGATATATTAAGGAGCCCGAACGGACCTGTGTGCAAAAAAGTTATACACCTTTAACTAGACAATGCACAGTCTGCGCCCAACTGTTCCCATGCACAGACGCGCACTTATGCCAATGGCACTACCTGTGATGCGCGTTCAGGTGCACGGTTAGGCCTTCAGTTGCATGGGGGCGCACCCGGAAAACCGGTTTAAAAGCCCTACTTCATCCCCTATATCCCAAAATACAAAAACTTGCTCTAGAAAAGGAAGATTTTAAGAACCCAACTTCCTCCAAGGTCCCTCCATTATCCAAGGTAAGTTCTAATGATGATTCTAAGTTGATTTCAATTCTCCAACACCTTATTAACATATGTAAGCTTCAAATCATTAGATATTCGATTGGGGCATCATTGTTGAGAAAAGAAACCCTATAACTTGAAGTCAAGATGATTGAACGTCAAAAGGTAATATCTTCATTGTCTAATTGATTATAGCATTGGATCAATGATTATATACTCTAAATTCATGAGATATGAGTTGATGAGTTTGATAGAAAAGCATGAACGGACATAGGTTTGGGTTGTTGCTTGTTGATATTGGTTAAGGGTGTTTATCTCATGGGTGATGATGAATGATATTGATTATAAGAAATTTAAGATATTAGAATTTATTAGGAGTAATATAATGGGGTTGTTGGGTGTAGAGACTCCATTAATGAGGGTTACGCGGCTTTATGCTCATAAGGTGTTTGATAAAATGCCTAAGTGACCAAAATATGAGTATTACTGCTAATATGGAATCCCTTTGACTTGTATTGCTACAGATTAAAGTTGAAAGGGTTGACAAATATTGTATTATGCTCAAGAGTAGGAAGTTCAGGTATGTAAGGTTAACTCTCTATGTTTGGGAATGTTAATGATTCTCCATACACTACATTTCTTCTACAACATTACTAATTGCCTCAGAAATATATTTAAGTTTAGTTCCTTGAATAGTTGCAAAACTTCTATTCTCTAGCTTCGTAATTCGTTCATGACTTTCATTCTGAACACTGTGAGTTCAGTGCGTAATCAATATAGACTTGTGTTTGATGCCCATGAGTCTCAGTCTAGATTACTCAGCATGTCATAAACAGTTAAAGTTTTAATTTTCATAATCAGTTCATGAATACATGTCTCTGTCTAGTTCTATTCAGCATTCAAGTATCCTGTAACTAAGTATGGTTCAGTATAATGTATTACAGTATGATTCTCAGTTCCTGTTTTTAAATCCCTGAATGTTGAACACCTATAGTTGGGCCTAAGGCCGCAGTTTATGCTTTATGCATCTTTGGGCCTGAGGCCGCAGTTTATACTTTATGCATCTTTGGGCCTGAGGCCGCAGTTATGTAAACGTATACTTGGGCCCGAGACCGCAACTTGTGCACATATATATTGGGCCTGAGGCCGCAGTTTATTTATTCAGATAAACAGGTAGTTCATCATTCAGAAGAGGGAGTATTCATATCCTTACTTCCTTTGTTTAGTTCAGTTATTAGTTATCATTTGCCAGTTATCATTCAGTTATTAGTTATCAATTCAGTTTCAGTTTCATCATTTATAGTTCTTTCTTTCAGTTGCTTTATAAACCAGTGCAATTCAAATATAGTGACGTCCCTTTCGCCCGAGGCCTGTATCTCCCGATGCAGGTAATGATTTACAGGTTGATTATTCAGAGCTCTAGGATTCTCGTACCAACTACTTGGTGAGCCCCAATTTTTTCGGGGCATTATCATTACTTCACAGTCTTTCAATATTTACAAACAGTTAGTGTTTTCAGTACTTCATTAGAGTCTTCATAGACTACACATAAGAGTAACAATTAGATAGTGTCGCATGTTTTTCATATTAAGAAATATTTGGTACATATATGTTTCAGAATTATATTAATGTTTCCGCACTTGATTTATATCATTCGGACTTTCTGTATATCATCATGTATTAGCTTATCTTCCGCATTCAATATATTATGATACCACATGTTGATTCAGTCAACCAATTGGTTCGCTCGGTCGCATGTAATCAGGCACCGGATGCCGTATTACATCCAGGCCAGATTTGGGGCGTGACATTTGTTCTGATTATGATGTTTGAGTTTCATATAACAAGACTACGAGTTAGTTATAGACCAAAATTTGAGTTATGGAAGTCCCAACCTTTGAAAGTATAAGTTTTTAGCTATTGTGTTAGTCTTTGATTTATAGTTTTTCTTTTTAGAAGTTCCTTTGGTGGAATGAATCAAGAGTTCCAGTAATCTAGGTTTAGTTACGATCTTTTTTTAGGTGTGTATCTCATGTCTAAAGCTTGAACATGTTAATACTCAAAAAACCCTAGTGAACAATCCGATCACCTTTTTTATTAAGCTCTTCCTGCTTTGGATTTTGAGATATTCAAGACTGGTTTTGCTTGGAGAACTATTTAGAAAGGAGTACAGATTTCTAATGGATAGAAATCTGAAATTGCTATACTCTTGCTCCCAAATTTTATACTGAAAAGTTTATAGCTGAAAAGAAAATTCAAGATATTGAATATAGGATACAGAAACAAGAGGAAAAGGCAAAAACGAAGAAACATGAGAACTTATTAGAGATAGAAGTAAATATGCACATCGGAATACAAACTCCCTGCACATAGTTACACAACAAAAGATTGAAAACTAACTTGCTGCCCTAGAACCTTCGAGCCCAGCCCGCAACTCCCTTGCAGAAGACTCCCACTTCAACTTCACCTCCCTAACCCCTATCTTAAAGGGAAGATGGTTGCTTATCTCCAGAAGGAATTCAAACCTAGGTACGTGGCGACACACAAGGACCAATCCGTAAAGACCATTCTTTTGTCTAATATGCCTAACAGCCGCACAGATCATTCCAGGGGAAGCGTATACACATCATATATTGCAGAAATTTTCTTATTCGGACACTTCTTTTTCCAACCACATTTCTTCCTTTTTTTCCGATTTAAAACCCGGGGGGGGGGGNTGTCCTACTTCTACTAGTAAAATTAGAAGAGCTTCACAAACTTGAGATGCATCAGCCTCCATCGGGTCATCGTTTAATGATGAATATACCATCCAAGCATGGTCTAATTTCCGTTTTGGCCTAACAACCACAGACCCAGGGACTTCTGCGTCACGACAAGTGACAAGCCCGTCACTCTTCTCACCATACCTGATCTGAAGAAGCTGGGCACATGCCGCCATCACAGCACCAAGAGGCATCACCACCGGAAACGTAGCAGGCTGGGCAGTAGAAAAAGTTGGCATTTCTGCGTGCGCCACACGGGATAATGTGGCCAAGACCGCTGGAGAAATGCTGGCCTCCGTTTGGAAGGAAACAACAGGAAGCTCCTTTGGCAAGTGGTATTTGCTCAAGAACTCCTTCCTCCTCTCATAAGTCAAATCTCCCAAAGCTTGCATGTCACCCTTCAAAACAGTTGCGGATATTAGAATACCCTAAGAGTAAACAGAAAGCTCTGAAAGAAACATAACATGCATCGGACAAATGGAATATGGCATCTATCGGAGTTTATTTCGCTTTGTTGTGTATGAGCAGCATAAAAGCAAACAACATGCAAAGAACATCCAAGACAAGGGATAGGCATGTTTCAGGACAACTCGAACTACACCCATTTGCTCAAAATGTAAATTTTGATGTGACAGAATCTGATCATCCAGTCTAAAAAAGGCAGTGGTGGAGTAGCATAGTACTATTGTAAACCCGTTTGGGATTCTACTACACCTGATGAGGGACATGTGATATATTATCTAACACACTCACATACGTGTGACCTGGTTCTAAAGTTTACACGGGGACTTGAAAGATTTTTTTATGAAGAAAGAATTTTCTTGGTGGAAGTAAGAGTTGCTTGAAAGGCTAACAAAGAGACCTGGAGTAGAGAGAGACAACTGACCACTAGACCTGTATAGCAGATACAAAGAGTAATCTCAACGGGATAAAAGTTAACCGAGAGTAACTTAGTGACTCAGAAGTGCTGAATATAGAAAAGAAACCTACAGAACTATAATAGAGAGAGAGAAGAATCATAAAAATGAGCTTGCCAAGTTTGATTCGGACACAATGTGAATGGATCTGAGCATCCAACCCAATATATTAAGGCAGTGAACAGAGTAGTACTGGACAATTATAATCTTATAAGTTCCAGATTCAGACCATTAATCGGAATCTTAATATCTTAAGCAAGATATTAATCATGATATTCAATTTCTGAAACTTCCATAGGGCATCTCCTAGCTCATGTACAAATCGTTCTCTAAAAACAGGGATGAGAGTCTATCATTTCCACAACCATTACATCCAGTCACCCAATCTAAGCGTGTTGGACCACACAATGTGCTTTCCCCAACTTATTGGAGAAGGTCATACTCTAATTGGCATAATTAAGTCATAAATCCAAAAAAGAGAGAAGGCATGTTTTTCAGTTTATAGATGATTAAAGTACTAGTCGTTTCAAGCTTAACCTCCAAGAAATTTACAAGTAGCATTAGATCAGTTTTGAGTCAATGCTTGGAGCAATATATATGGTTAAAAAATAACTATTCATAGTCGTAACATAACCATATTCAAGCAGAAACCATCTATAACAACTAGGCCATAGTGTCTTGAAACAATGTGCCCTTATGCATGAAGCTACTAATCCATCATAAATAATAAGTGAGAGATCCCAGAATATGACCAAATCTTGATGAGAATTCTTTAGTTTTACAAATTATCGAGAATTCTTTAGTTTTACAAATTCAGGTTGGTTCAATTTGAAACTGTAAAATAATACTTCAAATATATCTCCTCTTTTACACCTCCCTCGCCGGGATTAGTAAGGTAAAGTCCACACAGGAACCTTGCTCTGGCTGGTATTATCTTTTCAGAAAGGAAAAGAAAACAAGAGCTCACTGATACATTCTCACCAAAATACCCTAACAGTACTCTACATAATTTCTCTCCCAATACAGGTTTAAACAGCACTTTCCTGAAAGGAACTAAGATAATGAATATATTGAAATGCCTTCCAACTTCTCATCTATGAAAACAGATTATTTTTCCATACCCTCTCTCTCTCTCTAATCCACTCCTAATAACAGGAAGGGTAAAGAAAAACTGCAAGGCTATGGACGAGTCTCTAGGACACCATAAGTGACTTAGGGGTCGTTTGGTAGGGTGCATAAGAATAATGCTGAATATGGTGTACTAGTAATGCTAGTATTAGTTATGATGACATTAGTTATGCTGACATTAGTTATGCTGACATATTTCTTATCGATTGTTTGATTTGAAGAATTAAAGCATTGCACAATTTCTAAAAGAATTGTTTGTTTACAAAAATACCCTTATAACCAATCCAATGTAGAGTCAAAATTTATAAATTTATAATGAAAAAATTGGCGGGGCATAGATATAAATAGCGGGAGCAATTTCAGTGTCAAACTTGCATTAATATAATATCATATTTTAATCAAGCATAAATTTTGAAGGGTAATTTTGTCTCTAAGGGCCCCTTTGGTATGAGGGATAAGGAATAATTACCCGGGACTAATTTAAGAAGAGTTTATCCCATGTTTTGTTGGTAGAAAACTGCGGTATAATTAATCCCGAGATTAATTATCTCGGGATTGTAGTGGTTTTTATCCCCATGGAAAGGTGGAATAACTAATCCCGGGATAATTAATCCCGGAATAACTTCTTTCCAACCAAACGACCCCTAAGTTAATGCATGTATCAAAACCCATTGTATTGTTAATACCATGGTTTCCTATGCATTAGTTATGCATAGGATAATACCAAATAGGGTGTATAACTAATGCATATGTTCAAAAAATGTACAAAACAAGGTACTATTAATACCCAAAGCTAATGCATGCATTATTTTATCTAATACATCCTACCAAACGACTCCTTAATGCTTTATCACCTTTCGTAGTTTGATGACCTAACTTCAGTAGATGTCTTTAATAAATAACTACGCACCCACTAATACCTCTACTAATGGGTAACTTGTCAACTCCAAGTTTGAACTTTTCTTGACCACAATCTTTACCTTTAATCTCTTTCTTTTTATCGCCAAGAACAAAGCCATACGCAATCCTTGTCAGAAATACGTATCATGGGAATCTTGTATTACTCTTATCTCTTATTTGTACAAGTTGACCCACAACGTGAAACAGAGAATTTCCCTAGAGCTATTGATGATTTTAAGCATGACAGAAATTTCAATTGCTTGTACTCCATTGGAACAGAAAACAAGACAATCCCATCCCACACTCTTTTTTCATCCCACACTAGAAAAACAATGCACATCAATAACAAATAAGCAATTACTGGTGGATATACCTTGATTACTTTACAGATGAGAATCTCCATAATCTTGCGGATGTTTACATAATCACCAAGCTGTCCTTCTCGCAGAATGTCTGAAGCAATTGGACTTCCACCATAGGGACTTTGCGCTAAAACCAGCCCTGCAACCTTATCTTTCAAATCAGACCAATACATGGACAGAGCAGCTGCTGCATCTACTCCACCTTTACTGTGTCCAAGAAGTAAGACACGTTTATTGGAGCCCCAATAAACTTCTTCAATGTAATCCTTTATTTCTCTAGCATTCTTTTCCACAGAGGCCTGCATATGTCATGTTCGATGGTAAGAGATAAAACAATAAACTGCACATATGGTTTACAAACAAGAGAGATACCTCACTATGAATTTTGGCTATATGACAAGTGAGTCCCAGTTTTGAAAAGCTTGTTTTTGTATTAACAAAGTAAAGTGGTCCATGATTGCTAAAGAGACCTGCACAGAGAAGAGACGACTAGCAATTATCAGGAAATATGCTACTAAAGATGATTAGCTTGCTCATAAATTCAAGACTTCTTGAATGATAAGATCATTTTTCCAGCATCCCCTAATAACTAATAATTAAAAAGATCACGGATATAGCATGGTCCAACAGTGGTCAAAGACACGTGCAGGGAAATGAGGGAAAATAATCCACATAATTGTACTGATGAGAGACTTTTGGCACAACTAATGTGCTTTAAATTCTATGAGGCTGATCTAGTTTGTCCAACAGTGGTCAAAGACACGTGCAGGGAAATGAGGGAAAATAATCCACATAATTGTACTGATGAGAGAGACTTTTGGCACAACTAGTGTGCTTTCCATAAATTCTATGAGGCTGATCTAGTTTCAAATATTAACCATTTTGGTTGTTTACTATCGCTACTGATAGGAGGAAGGGTGCTTTTACCTGGTACTAACAAGTAAACCATTGAATTTGGTAATTTATGTAGTCCATGCCTGACAAAAAAGATCCGAACAAGGTCAACTTGTATTCGAGTAGACAGTCGCAGTCAATTTGTACATATGGTGTTTGTACCTAATATCGTCAAGGATTTCCACAAATCTATCAGTTTGATCTTCGACAGGAGGCATATGTGAAGCACGCTGTAGCCATCCAATATCATCAGCTGACCCACGAACTGTCCTTCTCACCTTCTCTATAAGGCTAAAAATAAAATGCAAAAACCATGAGGAAAGGTACTTCAATAAGAGCACGAGTTATACCAACCGGTAGTACCACAAACATCAATTGTTTTTACAAAATCAGTAGAAAAAGAAATAGAGTGAGTTTTACGGAAACCAGCAATTTCTATGTAGTTTCAGTTATCCATGTGCAGATGATTATACATACATGATTATGTCTAACAAGCATATGATCTGGCATTTAACATGCCAAACTTGTATCCATTCAGATAATCATACCCTTGGAAAATAGAAATGCCATTTGGGCTGGCCTGCGTTGATTGAACCTGTGCACAGGAACTGTCAGATAGATCCTCTGAGTTCCTTGTTGCACTACCACTTTGAGAAGACTCTCTAGATAAGGTTCTACTTAATCCTTCATGGAGAAGCGGAGCATCAACAGATGGCTGAGATGAGTTACAAACAGCTAAATGACTTCCACTTGAAGAAACACCACTGAAGGCGGGGGATCCTCTACTTTCTGCAGAACCAAATGTAACCATCTCTTGGCCTCCTAAGCCTCTGGAGGCAGGTTCTGCTACAGCTGGAAGTAGAAAACACATCATACAAGCACTAAATTGCAAATCCATAACTAGATTTCATATCAAATTCTAGGAGAAAAGAAATTTGCTGGCGCCAGAATTCAGGAGTTAAATATCATGTCATTGACATTTATGACCAAATTGCATCTCAAAGAGAAGGGGGAAAGGAAAAACGGAAGGAAGCGTCTAAAATCTCAATTCACAATTTTCCAGAGCCTCAAAACCTAAAATTCAGTGGCACTAAGATACATGGCTTCAATTTAAAACAAATATAATCCAAGCATGCAAACAAAAGAACAGGATAGTTATTGTATCCCTCACCTAAAGGATTAAAACTAGCTTTGCTTTTGATCATGGTAGACAATAGACATCTTACATTAAGGAAATCAACATCTTCCATTAGCTTTTGCCACATAATTTATCATCAGAAGTCTAACCTGGAAGATATTACTTGGGTACAATTGGCAAGAAATTCGGAAGGAAATTTTTTTAATACTCTAAAACAATAAAATAGAAGACTTCAAAAGGTAGAAATTCGACTATTCATGGAGCATATAAAATCTTAATGCATCAAAAATCACGTAGGGACCAATCTCAGCCAATCATCATTAACCAACAAATTGGGGGAATAAAAAATTTACTACGGGGGGAGAGAAGGAACACATGAAAAAGTTCATGAAGCTCACCAGAAAAATCCATGAAACAGCGAGTAAATAATGATGTTGTATCAGCAAGATAGGAAGCAGCATCATTGAGAGCTGGGACAGAAGTAAGTAGCTGAGGGATACCCCTATTGCTTCTCAAAGAACTGTCATTCGCCTGGCCGAAAAAGGAGACAACATTAGGCAAATGATAAAAGACAAGAAATGTTTTCAGAGGTTAGGGACCAAATGATTCAGAACAGTAGGTAGAGGATTATCAATAGACATGTACACTTTAAAAGATGAAACACAAGGATATCTGATAGAAGTTGATAACTTTAGCCCTTAGTTCTTGGACAAAAAGTTGATATCTGAACAGAGACCAAATCTGCACAAAATGGTAGTGACCTTTCCAAGCAAACAGAGACATGAACTTCCTGGAGCAACATGACGGAAAAAGCAGAAATGCCAAATGCAGTTATGGATGATAATGGGCCGACCTTTTACACTATATAGGCCGCCTGAAACCACCTGAGTCTTGATGTGAGTAGATATGTGGATTTGGTACTGGAGAGGAGATGTGGGCAATATAGGTATTCTTAACCACCCAGTCCTGCACCACAGTTTTTTTCTTTCTGGTTATAAATCTTGTCTGACGTAATTTCATGTCAACACAAGGATTTGGATATACAGGACTGGCCATAAGTCACACTGCATAATGATAGTTGAAGATTGCAATTCACACTCCTAGTATCAGGAACTATTTTCGTCACAGCCCACAACCCCTAAGCAGTCAGCTAGTGGATCTGCATAAATTACTGGAGAGTGGAGGCTAATCCAAACCAGGGCGAAAAATAGAGAGTGTGAGTGCAACAACAAGATGTCAGTAGGTTAACAACCATTTAGGATAAACACAATGTAGTCTCCTCTTTTTTGGATAAGTAACTACACAATATATTTACTTAATATATTGGATCCTTCACCTTCAGTTCACATATTCACAACTTCTTTTCTAGGCAATTAATTCCAAGTACTTCAGTCACTATAATTTTCCCAACAGGTACATTTGGTTCAGCCTTAACTCACGACTTCCATGTACTTTACTTCAATTCCATTCAGCACTTACACTAACCTAGGAAGTGTCATTCAGCTTCCTCTAACTCCTGGTTACCATCTCTCATCAAGCATGAAATACAAAATGCAATGCCTGAAAGTCATTCCTCATCGCCAACAATCTTCTAATGCTTTCCCGATAGAAGCAAGTTAATACAAGCTTATATTAATATTGAGCAGAAACGACAGGAATGTCCATTCACAAGGCAAAGGTTTTTCCACGTAACAGATCGAAATCAAAAGTTCAAGAATGAGACATTTCATTCGACAAAATGCTTCCCACTTTCTACTTTCTCCCACCTCAGTCTTAAGTTTCCATTAATTGAAGCCTCAAATTCGTACCTAACTATTTTCACTGTGCTCAGCTGCTCTGTCAAATTCCAGAACTGCATGTGATTTTAAGCCAGATTTGTGAAAACAGAAGGAGGTCAAGAGTGAGGTTCTAGCTAAGTGCTACCGAACAAAGAGAAGTGCTCCGAGTCTCAGATGCTTGGTTCTGTGGGCTATGGCTACCTGAGAACTAGCCCTCCCACTTAATTTTCTTATATAGCCACTACTAGAGGAAAAACGTAAAGATTTATAAAGTGGACAATCCACTAAATTATGATTCAATAATTTGACAAGATCAACGGGGAATCCTGTCCATGCTTAATGCAGATAGTTTTAATATGTCACCATGTCAAAAAATGAAAAAACTCGGACTTAAGATAACTCGAAGAAAAATCACGAAAATTTAGTAACTCTGTCCATGAACCAGTCCTTGTAGGTGACAGCTCCAACGATCCTGGTACTACAAATATAGAGGACTTTCAAGCGGATGGGCTCGTAACCAAACGATCACATTAGTTGACAATGCAGCCAACCCCAACTAATGCACTCTTCAACTAATAGAGAGAAGAGGAAAGGAATGCCACAAGTAATATGTTATTTGAAGTTGAAAGATGTCAAATCAACACATTACAATTCACTGCCACACAAAAAAACAAACTCTAAATTTCAACTGAAAAGCAATCTGAATTACAGTGACCTAAATATAATGTTAAAAGCAGAAACTACTTGAATGTACAAAGAAAGCTATAACAACTATTAGTATTCATGGATAAGTCTTCTTAAACTATTAGTTTTCAGTGGGAAAAACACTCTCGTTTGAAAACAAAACAAGCCAAATTTTGAAAAAAGATTTATCATACGGGACAAGCCTGGGATGCCAGACTAAAAATGAAATGGGAGAATTTTCAGGTATTGTGAAATACGTGCTGGATGCTTAGGGAAAATGACCAACGCATATTCTATGCCTTTATGGATGGAAGACAACTTTAAGGCAAAGGTCAAAGTGTTGAAGTACAGTATAGAGCTCTGCAATTCAAATGGTATATATTTTGTCTCTAAACTTCATTACTCTAGTATATAATTCGTGGTGAATATCTCACACAGGGAGAGCTTCGAATGACATCGAAAATATCTAAAGCTTCTATCCCTACCCAGAGGCAAAATTATAGCACTGTTTTATGTAAGCAAAATCATGGCAAATTCATAAAGATCTTCCTAGCACTAAAGTTTGCTTCGATCAAACTAGACGAGTAATTCAAAACGTACATCCTTGGATATTTAAATTTCCCTATTTGTTTTCAGCATAAATGAAACTGGTTCCCACCATTCAAGATGGATTTTCTATTGTTTTTATTTAATTTCATAAATTAGTAATCATAGGCAGAGGAACCTTACCACAAAGGGGTCACTCGACTCCTGAGTTGTGTTGTTACGTCTGTCCATATCATCCACTGCTAATAAAGCAAACAAATAAATAAAAGTTATCAACAAAATTTAAGTAAAAAACATGAAAACACATCTTCAATGAACAAAATCTTAAAATTAGGATGTGATTAAAAATTTGAAATACACCAAACAATACTTAAAAAACTAAAATTCAGAGTATATTAACAAAAAGCATGTACCTTTAATCTGCAAAAGAGATTGAATTATGCTTAGGTAATTTTAAGATTCTGGGAACAAAAATAATTGTTTTTGCCAACAAAATAAAAATTATAAAGAGGAGGTTCGAGAATGATGGAGAAAGGGTAAATTGCTTAATTGCAAAGCAATGCCAAAGTTAACGGACACTTCATGGAGAAGAGGAAGACGACTAAGAAATCACAAGAACGACGTCGTACCCAAACTTACGTACGAAGGATTACCGATTAAATGTGAAAGAAAATGACGGTTGTCGGGGAAAAAATGACGGTTGACGGTTAGGATTAGCGGAATAAAGATTGGTAAAAATAGCACGCTATAGCCAATTTTGGGACTTGTTATTCAAAAATAGCCAGCATTTATGAAGGCAATGAAAAATAGCCACTATTTTGCTGCAACAGAAACCGATCCAGCATAATATACTGGAGTTCGGTGTACCTCTGTATGAACTCCAGCATATTATGCTGGACCGATATACTTTGCTGATTCAAGTATAATATATTGAAGACTGGAGCACCGGTGCTCCAAACTCCAGTATATTATACTTGAGTTCTAGTGTACTTATGCTGGAACTCCAGTATAATATAGTGGCGTATTTTCCGGGTTTTGAACAATATTTTCGCTCAAATTTATCTTTACATGAAAAGTGGCTAAATTTCGATTACTGTTGAAACTGGACTATTTTTAAACGATAAGTTGTAAATCCGGCTATTTTTGAATTTCTTCCTAAAGATTGGGCACCGCCCTAGGTATTTGGGCTGGGGCCCATAGCAGCTGTTTTTGGACTAGTCTTGAAAATCAATCTATTTCTCAAAATGGATCTTGATCCAAAAAAACATTTTTGAGTTTTGATATAGACTTTTTTCCTAAAAGGGTAAATAAATCCTTTTTACTTTAATTTTTTGGCCAAATTAATTTTTTTTCTGATTGAATACCACATCCAAAAGAATAAAGATGTATATGTCCATTACTTGGTTTGTTTTTATATGTTGATGGCTAGTAGTATTTAACACATATATTAAATATCATATGGTATCCTAGGATAGAAATAGGTGAGTAACATGTGAGAGCTAGTAAGATTATGCTGAATGCATAAACAAGCATGTTCACACCATTAGTGGATAAATTTAAATCATTTCTCCATTAATTTTCTTTCATTTATCATATGACATTGTTCCATAGTTCCAGTAACTTTAACTAAAATTGCATGAGTTGTGAACTCATGTCTCTTATTTTACCTTCGTATTTAGGAAAGGAAAAAAACAGTGAAACAATTTTGTTCTGTCTAAGGACAGTACAAAGAAAATGAACAACCTAATATCATAACATGACATTTAGAGACTCCTAAGGAGAATGCCTTCAAAAGTGATGCCAGGGCCAAATGCTAAAGCAAGTCCCCATTCTTCACCACCATTTTTCTTATTCTTCAACTCTTCCCTCATATACTCCATCACATAGAATATAGTATTGCTACTCACATTTCCATAATCCATCAATGCCCTTCTGCTACAATCCAGTTTCTCACTTTGTAACTTCAGTGTGTTCTCCAATCTGTTAAGTATAGCCGGTCCGCCTGGATGAACAGCCCAGAACAAGTCATTGTACTTAGCTTCCCTCAAATCAGCCTTAGCTATAATTTTCTTGCAAAATTCCTCAATGTTGTCCTGAATTTTCTCAGGCAGGTCCCTTCCTAATTTGAAGTTTATCCCTTCTTCAGTAAGTCGCCCATCGATCACATTATTTGTCCCTGGCAAGAATTGTTGAGTTGCAAAATTCAATTCCATGAAAGGAGATTCTTTTCCCATAATTGGTTCAGTTCCAATTATAACAGCAGCAGCTCCATCACCGAAAAGTGCAGCACCAACAAGATCATATGGTCTAGCATTATTTGGTGGCCTAAAACCAAGAATTGTGGTCTCAGAAGTTGTCAATAGAACTCTGCTCCCTGGATTATTTTCAGCTATATCTTTGGCAACTCTAAGGCCTGTGACACCACCATAGCAACCCAAAAAATACAGCATTACGCGTCCAATGTCATTCCTCAATCCAAGCTCAGTTGCAAGGTAAAGATCACCTCCTGGTAAACGTATTTCGCTGGAGGAAACATACACAATGTGTGTGATTTCCTCTGCTGATCTTCCCCATTCCTTAATGCAAGCTTGGCTTGCTTGTTTTGCCATTTCCACAACTGCTGGATTTGCAATTTCTAGCCTTTGTTTGATTGTTGGTGTGCCTTCAGTTGCTAGTTCTGGATACTTGTCCAAAATTTCTTTTGACATCACTGTATATCTGGTCTTCACAGTAGTAGTTTTACCTACAGAAAAACATGGAAAAGTCACTAGAAATGTTTTAAAAAGTTTAACTTATATACACTGACAGTCAAAAGAGTTTTTCACACAATCATATCATCAAAAATAACTACAGGTGTCCAACAAAAGTTGGACTTGTAATGTGGAAAATTAGACTTTTTACCTACAGCATGTTAAAATACGTTGATAGTGTAAAAAGTCTTTATATTGTTAGTATATACAAGTTAAATTCATGAAAAAGGTCAGGATTATAAGCATGAAACAATAATTAATGGAAGTAAATTTTTGCTTACAAAGGCGCTCTAACTTCTCCTTAATAGCCAAATCTTGACAGTTGGTATCGCGAATGTAGCCTTCAACCAAGCAATCCTGAGGGACAAGTTGTGCAGGGAAGGCTTTGCCCATGGCAAGAATGGTGGCTTTTCCTGGAGTAGGAAGGCGCGTCGACGGCTGAAAAAAGTACTTGGATGCACCATTAATGTTCTTGCCGTTCTGTGACATATTGGATAAAATATGGAAGCTAAGAGAATGTGACTTGAGATTTGCTGTTGTCTGATGAAATCTTAGTATGAGATTGTTTCAAACATGTTATTGCATCAAATATAAATGGAGAGCTAAATCTGTAGTTGGAGAAAGGTTGGTATAATTGTGTTAAGAGAACTTCTGGCATGACAAATTATAAAAACTAGTGCATGCTTTAAGAGTGTTGCAGATTTTAATATATTATGATTGATTCTTGTGGCTTGTTTGTGTGAAAGTATAAATAAAACGAAAGCAGTCTTTTCACTTTTCACACTTCCTTTTGTTTTTTTCTTTCTTTTTACTGATATTATTTTTTAGATTTTTTTATGCGCGGGGGAGGGGGCAAAGAGGGTAATGCACCAACTAGCTGCACCACTAGTCATTGTTCAAATGTTAATTCTATAAATGTGTTGTGTTTGTCTTCTTATTTTTCATTGCTAAAATGTTGTTGTTCTTCTTCTTTTTTTGTCGAAAAGATGTACTTATATTATAGGGAATTAACCAGGTACATGAGAACAGTTTACAAGATACATAAGAGGCATCATAGTTACTAAGCTAGAGTTTACTACAAAGACCCCCGTATGGGAATCATTACAAGAAAGATAGTTAGTACTAGATAGAACACTACTATTAGTACTAGATAGAACAATACTATTACACAAAGTAGTTAGAGCAAAGAGCGGTTGTGTTGAGTTACTGGAGTTGATTGTAACGAACCTCCTTTGTAGCGTGTCGATATGATCTTGGTGGTAAGAAGGCTCTGCAAAAGATGATGGTCTCCCACAAAGTATGCAGCTCTCCTGTGCATGCATGACTTCATGTTTGGCTAAACTATCTGCAACACAATTTTGCCCTTTGTAGATGTATTGTATAGGAGGGCTATCCAGCTGTAGGAGTAATAACCTGCAATCGTTAATGAGATTAGTGTAGTGCATAGTAGTTGAGTTAAACATACCGATGATTGCATGTGCATCTGTCTCAATGATGATGGGGTTGAGATATTGTTGCACAACAAGTTTCAATCCCATGAGTAGTGCAAGGAGTTCTGTCTGAACATTTGCGCCTGGATTGGATTTACCTGCAAATCTCATGATCCAGTTGCCTTGGTAGTTTCGAAAAACTCCACCAATACCATATTTTGCTGGGTAGATGAGCAAGACCCATCAATGTTTAGTTTATAGATAGTAGCATTTGGTGGATGCAATTTTATGTATAGAGGTGTTACAGATTTGTTTTTAAATTTTTGATTCGTTAAAAAATAATATTCAGTTGCCATATTTAGTATAAAAGGAATATTTAAAGGAATTCTTTGATGATCTAAAGTGTTCTTGTTCCTTATAATCCAAAGATGCCATAGTGCAAAACTTTTCCCTTCATTCATGTGGAAGAGTTGTAGTACAATGTTCTTGTAGTGGTTGTGCAATTTTTTGAGAATTTTTTTTTTGATTTATCAAAGTTGATAGTTTGTCCAGAGTGATGTGTAAAGTGAGTAATAGTATTAACAATTGATTGACAAGTGTTGGTTGTAATTTTTGCTGTGAGAATAATATCGTCAGCAAAAAATAAATGAGATAGCTGAGGTCCCTTTTTAGCAAGGGAGAGTGGTAGTTAAGTATGGTAATCAACTGCTGTATTTATTTTTCGCAAAAGCATTTCAAGGCAGAGGATAAACAGATAAGGTGATAAAGGGTCTCCATGTCTTATGCCTCTCGTGGGTGTGAAATATTCCGTAGGGTTTCCATTAATAAGAATTGAAGTTGAAGTAGTTGTTATGCAAGACATAATTAATTAATTTAGTAAAAGTTGGGGGAAAATTTAAGGTGATTAAGGTATTATGTATGAACGACCATTCTAATTTGCCGAAGGCCTTTTTAAGATCCAACTTGAGAAACATATTTAAATTGTTACCCTTCATTTTTTGGAATTTGGTAATGATTTCCTAGACAATAAGAGCATTATCTGCAGATCTTCTATTTTTCTGGACACTAGATTGAGTTGGATGAATAATGTGTTCCAGAATAGGTTTTAGTCGATTTACGATTATTTTTGTGATGATCTTGTAAATAATATTACAAAGACTGATGGGTCGATATTGAGATATGGAAGAAGCATGCCTATTTTTATGAATTAGGCAAATGAGTGTAGTATTAATGGTAGGGTTGATTTGATGGTCAAGAAAAACTTTGTGACAAAAATATTTGACGGAGTTGCCTATGGTGTCCCAATATTTTTTATGGAAGAAAGGGTGTAGACCATCTGGTCCAGGAGCTTTAAAAGGTTTAAAGGAGTGAGCTGCATTAATAATTTCATAATCTTGTAAGGGTTTAGTTAAGCAAAATTGATCCTGATGAGTTAATACATTAGAGGGTTGTATTGTATTTTTTATAGTAGA